TTATTTCTACTGATTTATAAGTGAAATTCATATTCATTTCTTACACCGGCGTGAGATTTTCCTACCGCGTGATTTTATTCTCATCTCACATTCGATCCCACGAAATCACAAAACATCATCACAAGTTCACCAGGGAGATTCAATACTGTCATTGTCTTCGCATCTGCAATTTTGTCTTCTTTTTTTTTTTTTTTACCCCTCAAGCTACTCAACTTTTAGGTTCAAGTAGAGAACAAGAGACTCATCACGTCAAAACAACGTGATCAAGATTTTCAGTCAAGATTGAAAAAGTAAAATTCATCTTTTTAAAAAGACGCTGACAATCTTGCTCTCCTCTGCTTTTCTAATCAATATTTCCGTAGCAATTCCATTGATCAGGGAAATCGTTTGAAAATATATTCTATCGCAGCACTTATTCTCTATTTTAAAATATCTGGAAAGTGAACGCGACTTGAGTAGAACACAAACCAGATGAATTTTGATGTAAATTCTAGAAAAAAAAATCACCAATGTAAGCCATTATTTTTTAATTTCTGAAGCAATCCGTTCTCTAAAATTTACAACTATTTTTCGAACTTCATCCATGATTGAAGACATGAATCTACTCATGAGAACACTCTCGTACCACATGCAGACCCACGAAACTTCCTCCGTAACCCCATAACACATCGCAACCAGAGAACCAGGTCCACGACATTGTAATGCATGAAAAGTTCTTCACGACCGCCTTCGTCTCGTGTATTATGTCGTCCGAAACGCCAAAAAGAAATAAACAAATCGCCGCGAGTCGTTCAAGAATTATTCGACCGAATACGACAGGGAGAAGAAAAACAAGTTGGCGATTCAAGCCGCTTACTTAATACACTGTGAGTCAATTTTCAGACTCGTATATAAATAGACGAGGGGGGAAGAAAAAGTGGAAGCGACCTCGTCGCTGGAGTTGATCCGAAGAGTCACGCTTCTAGGCTTCGATTCGCGACAAGGCCGTGATTGAATTGACTTTAATTCACTTTCGTCTGGATCCCGTGTGTGTGTGCGAGTGTTGTGCAATTACGTGAGGCGATCAGTGCGTAATCCCGGGGCTCGGCATGTTTGTGCTCGGGGGGGACGAATTTTCTGCGCACAAAAAGTCGCTCAATTTCACTTTCCGCGGGTCAGTCGCGATCTGACCCAATCTCTTCGAATCAGCGTCGCTTGATTTCCGATTCCCTCGTGTTTCACAGAATCTATCGCTATTATTTCGTCAACAGGCGGAAATGGTTCAGGAGAAAACTGCACATGACTCGTTTTTGATAATCTCCCTCCCCCCCCCCCCCCCTAAACCGCAACAAAGTAGAATCCTGAGCAAAAGATCACGCAGTCAATCGCCTTACGTGGGATCAATTTATGATGAACAACAGAATCCTGTATTTAAGAATACATTTATCTATTTTTTTCAAGTTGGGCCAGGGAAATTCATGCATCAGTTTTTTAGTTTTGTGCAGTTGAAATTTTTTATTTGTGAGTGGTTTTTTTGCAGTCGTCACATTTGCATCGTTCGATTTTTGTAAATTGCCTTTGGTAGCTTATTCATTCTAGAGTCTACCCTTTGAAGAGCAATCTTTCTGCATGGAAGGTTTGTTCCCACCCATCACTACCACAACGATGATGAACATCTGAAAATAAAAAATTTGAAAGAAAAAAGTTTCGAACCTTGAAAATACGTGTTATTATGCCGTGGGTAATTTTTCTTCGGCGCTCTCTGTCAATTTATTTTCGAGAAGGAATCATTTGCCACCACACTGATGGAGATTCACGATCACCCTACAGCCTCCTCAAATTGGCCAAATTACTGAGCAAGAATTAAAATTTGGGATTGAAAACAACTTCGCCAATTGACGAATACTTTGAAAATTTTAATAACGAAGGTTGCTTTTGCTCGGTTTCGTCGGGAAAAATCATTGACGGACAAAGACGAACGCGAAAAATATCTCAATTATGCCAGCATGGACTGATTTCAATGTACAGTATTATTTTCAAGCTTTTCGAGTTGGCCAACACTGAAAAAAGCCAGCCTTGAAAAGTTAGCGCGAAAACGTGACGATCAACAGCACATTTGGCTTCTGATTGCAGTACTGTTTATTTTTATTTTTCAATGAGAAAAATTTATTTCGTACCTTCAATTCTCGCTCGCTTCTTCTCATTCGGCAATGAAGTTAATATACCAGAAAAACGATTTTTTTATTTTAATGTTTTTGAAGCACATCAGATATTCCGCTTCTCTGTGCATGGTCCCGACAATTCAAGGGAAAATCAAAACTTTCAAAGGCATCAATTCCTTATTCTCACTTCGGCGTAATAAAAAAAACGAATTTGATTACTTCGCAGGTTTTGTCGTGAACCACGCTGAATCGAACCCCGAGTACATTTGGCGTGCTTGGCCTCATTCGGATAAGAGAAACTTCTAGATTAAACAGACATATTTCGGTAATTTTTACAAAATGTTCCTCGTTCAATGATTTATAAATTGAAAGAGCATGCAGGAAAACAGCTACTCCCTTTTTATAATTTGTAATGCATTGATTTAAATTTGATACACGGGAATTTTGAGCCGCCAAATTAGCTTCTGATGGAGGAGTCCAAGGACTTGAGAAACTATGCTCATCTTACAGAAATGGTCGCGTGACTCGAAAACAAATTTAGGAATACGTAGTTTGTACGAGCAAAATATAAATGACTTCGTATAATACGGAAGCGTACAGTTTCAAAAAAAATTACCTTTAAAAATACACTCGTATTTCTTTCAAAAATGCCTCGCATTTAGCGGCAACATGCAATTAATCGCATTGATCATTTCTCCTCATTCTTCGTCTATTCGGTGTATGATTCCACGGGGATTTGAGGCACACACACGAAACAAAACAAAAATACCGAGAAGGTAATTTGAATAACCAGCTTAACCAAAACCGACTGCACACAGAGCCAGGGAATCGGTCCACCGATTTTCCGTGGGAGTAGACCCTGTACTTGGTCATTTTTTAGAGAAATTACGCAGCGCATGACGAATCCGTTACAAGTGCAGGCCCTGAATCAAATCCGCTGATCATTGAAAGAATTCTCGCTAGAAATTTCCAAGGCAATTATAGTTCAGCATATCAGTACTGTACTGTACTTGAGAGTCTTGTCTTAATATAAGGCAGTTTTCACGTTTATCAAAGTTTTAAGATACGTTCAGAAAGAAAAAAAAAAAGAGACGGAGCTTTCCGGATCTCCCTTATCACGAATTTTTTTTTTACTAGTGGCCACGTGTCCGGAAACGCGATTGCGATTCAGTTTGCCTGGAATCTCTTCCTGAAGAAAACGCGGAACGCCAGAAAATACTGTACAGAACCATCCTTGAGACTGCAACGGAGGCTTTTTGAACTTAATTATCCAAGTACTGCTTGAAAAAAGTCATGTAAAGTGCATATACAAAGCTCCATGCATTCTATGAGAAAAGCAAGAGTTGTCTCAAGAATGCGTTTTGAGATTCCCTCGTTGAATTTCGATGCGATGAGAAGAATAGAGAAGATGGAAGTTACGTTTGCAGTTTTTGAGGTATTTGTTCATTCCCAGGCCATTTTCAAATGCTTGCTCTCTCGGATAAAATTAAAGTATAGGCGTAGTTGACTGGAGATGAGAGTGCACCAGACAATGGGATGTTATTATAAGTACACTAAAATCCGAATATTTCAGATACAGAATTAATAAAGACTTCGTTTCGGTGAAAACGTCACACAACTGAAAAACTTTCTTCAATGAAAAAAATCATCTGATCTTGGCACTTTGTTTGAAGAAATTGGAGGATGTTTTAAAATGTCATTTGGTGAGCTAACCAAGCAGGTCAGTGGCAAGTTCAGCAAGTGAGCATTTTTTTTTCGAGAGAGCTGAAGCTTGATTCCAGTTTTTTTTTTTTCACGGTTGGTCCAATGATACAAAACATGTGCGTTCGATGACCCTGAAAAATGTTTGAACAATTCGATGAATTCCACTTTTTCTTGCCGTCCTGGGAAAAAAGAGCTTTCTAGGAAATGTATTTAACATAAAATTTGAATTTATAGGCTGCAACGTTTGCCCTACGTATTCAGGACCGTTGAAATTGACCTGAATTGTCTGCAATCTATTTAACTCTCCTTTCTAACAACAATTCAACTAGATTTTGCAAACGAAAAAAGTGGTGTTATTACGATGGTAATTTTAAATGGCCAGGGCCACGAAAATACCAGGATCGAATTTCCCTGCTGATAATAAGAACCTTTTTGTCCAACTTCAAGGTTTTTTTCCTCTTTGATCTCTTAAATCTTCTTTCAACTTGTGCATTCGATAAAATTGCATACGAGGATTCTGACAAATTTTTGAAAAATAATTATAATCCATTTTTCTTGCCTTCGTAAAATAAATTTTTTTAAAGAAAATGTACAGTATTAAATAGAACTCCAATTCATTCCCGAAAAGCCGAAATGTTCGCTCAACACGTTTGAGGACTGTGGGCATTTGCCAAAATGTTCTGTAATCGATTCGACTCAATTTTCCTGCAAAAATTTGAATAGATTTTCAAAACGAAAAAGAGATGTTATTAAGGTAGCAATTTTGAATGATCAGGGCCATAAAAATATCGCGGATCGATCGAGTTTCCCTGCGGAAAATGGGAACATTTTCGTCCAAATCCAAGGTTTTTTTTCCCCTTCTTCAATCTTGCAAATCTATTCGCACAGGAGTGGCAATGCCATTTAATTCATTGCGAGCCTTCAATTGGGTTCCTTCGGCATTTCGTAAGTTTTCAGCCCAGTCATTTCGGCTAAAGTCGGCAAAGTGGAGTGACGCAATGAGGATTGTCGGGTCGAAAAAGTATTTTGGAAAACGTTCCTCCGCTCGACACCTCGGTATTTATTCGAGACGAAAATCGAGGTCGTGACTCGGCCTCAGCAATTTTTCGAAAACAAGAATTAGTCCACCGAACAGACTGACTTTTTCCTAGCCTTTTATTTTGTTTCCTTCCGGTTGTTTCCTATATAGCGACGATGAGAGGTTATATTTTCTTCTTTTCCCGTGTGTATCTCTTTCCGGCACTTTTTTCTTTCCGCCTCGGTGTCATTTCCAAACGCTTCGCAATCACGGGATTCGGTCCCGTAATCTGGTCTCGGGTCCGTCTTTCGGGATCTGTTACATTTCGCCACGAGAAGTGGGCAATAATCGCCGAATTTTTCGCATTCTCTCCGAAGGTTGCTTTTCTTGACTCGCTGTGCAACTTGACGGCCGGCCGAGAAGGTGCAAAAACCACGCCTCAAACTCAAGCTCGTCTCGGGGATTCGAAAATATTTTTAAAAATAATAATAAAATAAAAATAAACCCTTCATCTACGAAATAACGAATGTACTGATTAATCGAATGGCGTTTTTCCCCATTTGACTCAGCATTGGGGAAAAAATTATCAAGTAAATGGGCGCAGCCTTCATATGAAATGTTTTACCTGATACCTTCTCGATTTCGAAGAGCCTTGAAACTATCGACTTTGATTCAGGGTTATCGCGAAAGAAAATTGACGGAAATCCCTGATAGAGGTAAAATGCGTTGAAAAGTTGGCAAAGTCCAAGGCTACTTGAAAATATTGCTCAAAATCCAAATCAAACAGCAACGCACGGATTTTATGCGAAATTGAGTTTTGTTTAATCCGCCATGAAGTGCGGAAAATTTTCTACTGAAGGACTTTTTGGTAATTTTGAGGCACGGAGTTGGATTACCCAATCTCGTAATCGGTTGAAATAATTTTAGTCGTAGGATTTTAACATTTTGAGGGAATGAAAGTGGGCCATGATAGAAATATTACACTGGAGATGCGAAATTTCCTCTCCTGAAACTGTGATGACGAGCTTCGATAACCCATTACTGCACTCAAAAGGAACACTTTTCAAATTTCCCGTATTGAAATATTTCGAGAGCATTTAGACGATGGCACGGTTTTTTATGCCTGTTTAGAAATTTAATTCTCACATTATGGCGCCGTGTGACGCAGGTGGAAAAATCTTGCTAAATCCGGAAAGTTTTCAATTATTGTCATGCAGTAAATTGAAATACGTTTTCAAAAATTCGAAAAAAATCCTAGAACCTTATAACATCATGGGCTATGCGTCGTTTGTTGCGTATTTTTTTAATTTACACCTATATACTCTCAAAATACCACAGGTTGCGTCAAACTAGGACAATCCTCGCATCACCCACATAGTCTTCTACTTTAATAATACAGTACTGTATATGAGTTGACCCCTGTTAATCAATATAATATTATTCATTTTTCTCCCATAGAAAAGGAGAACAACCTTTTTCACTTATAATTTGCAATCCAAACTCAAAAAATTTCCATGATTTCGGGAAAGTGGGGTTGCATTCGTATTCCTCATTTCAAAACAGGAGTCTTTGTTCAGGTGCATCACAAAAAAAAATTTAAATCAAAATGTCTGATGATTTTTTCACATGATTTTCTTCCGCATTCTGTACGAATATACTGTACTGTACCGTAGTTCACTTCAATTCAGCTTCAATTTCACAAACAAAGAATATTTTTTGAGCAATAATTCAAGCGACGCCTGTAATTCTCAAATCAAAGAATTATCTGGACCATCCCTCGCAAAGCGGAAACAAATCACATATGGTCGGAACTCGGAAAGCAATTTTTCTTCCCTTCCCCACCCCCCCCCCCCCCCCCCTTTTACCGGCGTCAATGAAAATGAATAATCACAGCTCCGTGTAGCGGAATCGGAAATGACCGAGGCGGAAGTCAGAGCGTGTCATCAAGTGACTGTGAGGAAGAAGCAGCAGCTAGTAGCGGAGTTGAACGTATACACAGTAGCATGTGCATTTAATATTTTTTCCTCCTAAAACTTTCATACTTTCATTTTTGTATAGTCCGAATGTGGGACGATTCGCCCCCGGAGAAATTCGAGTAGCGTGGAACGCGACGTCGCGGGGAAATGAGCGCGGCGACCTTCCGCAAAGCCTTATTCGCTTCACCCCAATGGTTTTTCATGTAATATTTTCTTTTTTATGGTTAATGTTTGCCAATTGATTGCCCTCTAGACTAGTGTTCCCAACCTTCTTGAGCGCGCGCGGACTGTCAAACTTTCATGAAATGTTTTGCTGACGAAGAGCATATCTTCAAGACAAATATCTTTAAACTGGCGGAGTTTCATAAAATATTTGCAAACCCAAAAAGTTTTGTTTGAAAAAGTTTCATCGTAGGTATTGGAAAAGTTCCTTATTATTTTTTAAAAATTAAGTTGAGAACCAATGCAACAGCATTAGTGGAATTTATTTCGAATATTTCTTCGAAAGGTCTGACATCATCTGTTCGAAGCAATAAGAATTCTAAAATAGGGCACCTTTCTATTCGTAATTTACAACGGAGAAATATTGGACCACCGTTATCTTGTTTGGATTTCAAAATATCTTAGGTCAGTCGACCTGAAGATTCTTTTGAAGATTGCACACAATAAATTTGAGGTCAGCAGAGGAGGAACACGATTCAGTTGCCGTTGATGCGTACTTGTTTGAAGCAATATCCAGTAGAATAGATGACTCTCTAATTTAACGAAAGAGTTACCAATTGCTTCATTTCTTTTGAAGAGTTAAATGCCTTATTCAGTTGATACTGAGAACCTTCATCACTGATTGAAATGATCGTCACATTCTCAGCTCCACGTGCATGTTACTAAAGCTTTACTAAACTCACAAGAACATCATGAACACATGACTTTGAGTTTGATTTCAGCAGAAAGTTTTGGACAATGTTAAGAAAGGTGGGATTCCTGTCATCAACTGGGCAACTACCCGCAGTTTTTTGTATTACCTGCTGGGATCTTAAAAAGGAACAATTGAACAATTTTTGCTTCATTTATTGTATTACATATAGAATCCTGAGCGACTGATACCTCAAGAAAGTATAAAAGGGATTATAAAATCACTTCGTTTTATAAGAAAAATTTTCATCTAATAAATTGGAAGAGGCGAAAACTTTTGAAATTTCGGGTAAATGGCTCAACTCTCTTCATTAACAGTCACGTCAATGGAGAGTTAATCAATCTGCGATGTAATTGTGGGATACTTATTTAGAGGTACCAAAAACTATTTGAAACTATACAGTTAACAGTGAATTTCCTTCGGTCACGCAGCCCTATATATTCGTTCGATTCAAATTTGGCAACCACATGTTCATGACCCGCAGAAAATTGGCGAATATATTATGTTCCATTCGTGTGCTGAAATTACACCCTTGGGCCCATTAGTCCCACAAGATCAAAATGCGTGCAGTTGAAGTATAAAACGCAAGAATTGACTTTTTAAAATCACGTTCACGATCTTTCGAAACTTTCGCAATCCATTCCAGTAATTCTGTTTTTATTTAGTAAGATTTTTTCGGCGGAAAGCCAGCGTTAGAAATCACCAAATGCGCATTTCGGTCAATTTATATGAAAATAGAGGTATTTTTGAAGGAATAATTAATGTCTGCCGCATTTCGGAACTTCCTTCGGCGAGTTCGAATTTCGGCGGATTTAGCAACGCCTGAATTAATCCGCGGCGTGCCATAATAATTATTTTTTTTTAGGCGCCTGTGTCAGGTCCTTTTTACGAGACTTGCTCAGGTCCGCTGAATGCCCATTTAGCTGAGCAAACTTTCCACAGAAAATTCGCGTGTTTATCCTTCCGTCCTCTAAACAAAAGACTTGCCCAATGTTGAAGGAAAGCATTTTATTTGTCCCGTCGAGTGGAAACGCCCCGGTCAACTTCGGAGCAAAACGGCAAGAAAGTGACCTCAGGTACGTGGGAGTTTTCTGCGCTGTTTTCAACAGGGTCACGAAAACATTCCAGCTCCCTTCGTTTTGCTCCACAACCTGAGCGAACTGAACAAGAGTCTATTTTTGCACCGAGAATTCCTCGTTCAAAACATCAAAAGCAAACAGGATGCTTCGACTTCACGGCGACTTATTGGCGGAACCCCGATGATGAAATTCAGCAATTGTATTCTGCGAGACAGAAGAACATTGCTGAATATTCACGTTGAATTCTTGTCTCAAACGCACGAATGAAATTTCGTGCACGTGGCAAACTTTAATTACCTTCAAAGCATTGCTTAAATTTCGTAAATTGGACAAAACTTTCATATTGATTCGTTGCTTCCGCCTGCCAAAAAATAAAATGAAATACTGTATATTAGCAAAACTAAAAAAAATAATAATTTTGGAGTGATAGAAATTGATTCTTCATTTCCATGCAGCACTTAATCAGCATTTCGTTCTCTTGGGAGGGGCTGAAGGATAATTTATTACAGCACGCAATTACTTGTACTGCACTCGTAATTGGACATACCTGTACTGTACTGTACTGTGCTGTAAAAGGGCGCGGCAGAATACAGTGGACCGTAATGTAAACTGTATATGCTATCTTCTGGACCGGTTGGATGACTGATTGATTATTGTATACTATACAGTATGTACAGTATAAAACTTACAAGAAAGATTTCTGTGGGTTCATATCAACATAAATTATTTTAAATCGGACCGGAAAATTGAATTTTTCGCAGAAGGAATAATTAAAAAGACCTTTTGCCAATCTTTCGAAGACTGTACAGTACTGTACTTCAAATTTTGAATTTATTCTTGGAACGAAATGACGAATGGCTGTAAATAATGGAAACGTTCTGCATTTCCGACGTTTTGTGAAGGGTTATTTGAAGGTGCGCAGAACCATGCAAGAAAATCTTCGTGCAAGCCTCGACACCTTATAATCATTGTCTTCAATTTGAGTACAGTTTCCTGTCAACCCAGACAAGAAGCAATATACGGCCCAGAATGTGACCAATTCCAATTTTTTAATTCTCCTTCCTTTCCCCCAACGAAAATGCTCGTTTTCGTAATTCGAAACCTTTCCAACTCGGTTTTATGCTGGCCCCTTGAATTTTACTAAAAGAGGTTTGTTTGTATTTCAAGTTGTTTTTAAACAACTCGGCTTTTTCATAGACACAGCTACAATTATGTCGGAAAGATAGAACATTCTCTTTTGATGATTTATCCAAGCGAAGGCAGCATATGACCGAGCATTTTTCCCCCCATCACATCCGGACGCCGGAAGAAAAACGCCCAAAAAACTGGCATATTCGAGGCAGCAGCCTGCCGTACTTACTTCCGTCGGAATTTTTGGAAGCATTCGACGAAGCGGTCGGGATTTCGATCGAAAAATTCCTCATACGTGATCTGGGATAAATCCGTGATGACCTTAAATTTCGAACGTAGGAAATGCAGGAAGAAGAAATGGAGATTGGGTTCGGAGCACGTTCAACCTTGGGCTGCTTCAGACACATCCGTATAATTCATCCGCGAAACTATTCAGCTCCTGCTGTTTTTACGTGTGCAAAGCCAAATCGAAGGTTTTCATGTGCAATGTGTAACCATCAGTCTACTTCCTTGATTTCATAGTCATGAGCTTCAATGTCACAAAAATTTTGCTCATGTCACGGGCTTTTGAAATTCAATGGAGAGCTTACAATCACTTATAGGTACTACAATCCCCGAAAATGGTTTGAAACATCTTGACTCAATTATTTTGGGGTCAACACCCGTGCCAACGTGAATTTCAACCAACAAACTTTTTGCTCGTGAGGTTTCTCCGCCGACTTGCAACTAAAGATCAAGCTTGCAGACGTCGATCGATGTTTGCTTGAAGAAAAGGACTGGCATAGTTTCAATCCAGCTTAAAATAACAGTATTACATTGGAAATAATAACGCATGTACGTAATAATAACGAGATCTCACGGAAGAAATATCATTAATCCGTTTTATTTCCCTTTCAGTATATAAATTTAGGATATATATATTCGAAGATTTTTGGCACGACATTGAAGCGAAATCAATGAGCGACGTAAAATAGAGGTTTAATTGTGAGTCCAGTAGTCGGAAAATCCCTATTGAATGGACGTACTCCGGATAATCGACAAGACATGAAATCAGAGCGTGAAATACTGTGAGAAGCAACTGAAAATATTTTGGATTCCTTGCATCCAAGCAACTCGCTCATCGCAGCAGCAGCAAGAGAAGAAAAAATTCACGATGCAAATTTTAAAATTAATTTTAAACACGACGAGGCAAGAAAGTCCGCACTTGCCCTATTCCATCCACGTGGGGGATTTGAGAAGAAAAGCCAAGAAAATTCTCCAGTTGGAGAAACATGGAGACTCACTCGTGCCAATAAATAATAATAATTAACGTGGCTAATTATTAACTGTCGTACTCACCAGGGACTCTTATTGGCGGGACGAAAGCCTGAGACGCTGACGACGAAGAGGTCGATCCCGATGCTGGCACGACTCGCTGGCTCGTCAATGCCGAGAACGGAAACGTCGGGAAATTCCAGTACTGCCCGTCGACATTGCCGACGACAATGACGACGGCGATCAGGGCCCGAAGCCTCGGGCCGAACGTCCGCATCCCGCGCGATGACACCTTCATTCGATCTCGAATTCCGCCCTCTGCTGAAGAACACTTACCATATCCCACAAAATATATTAGAACTGGAATATTAGATAGGAATAATTTGGAATGCTGTCTTTTAATAATAAAAGGACTTGAATAAAGCATATTTTTTGAAAAATAAAATGAGACTCCTCCAAGAAACAACACCGGGATGGCTTTTGGTGGGTGCGTACTGTGTCCACCAAAAAAGAAAACTCTAATTTTCAAAATCTCTAAAAGCAATCATGTTTCAAATTGGAATGAAGTCGAGCACGATGCCAACTAGATGATTGCTTTTTTATCCCTTACTGCAAGCTTATTCAAAGAAATCGCCATCCGGAAAATCAAAGTCAGTGTGAATCCGGAAATATTTCCTCAGATACTCGTATAAGCCACAATCTTTCATGTCAGCGTACCCAAAAGGGGATAGAATTTTTTTTTTCATTTTCAAGCTCGAATGAAAATCCGTTATACTGAACATTATCTTATATAATGGTATTTGTCTTGACGAGATTTTACTGTACAAATATTTCGAGAAAATATGTTGGTTATGTGTAAACATCGACGGGATATCACAAATTCGCGACTAAATTGTCGCATTCCTTAAATTCGCACTCATTAAATTTTTATTGACATCTCAGCAGTTGATTGCAGTTTGTATTATTAGCAAGAAAGAATTCAGAGCGAGATCAGCAAATCCAAGCTCCATTCAAAGCTCAAACCTAAAAAATCCGTGTCTCACACTTTTCTAAATATGTACCACCATTCCAGTGATCAATATTCCATTATTTGATGAAACCCGTCTTTATAATTGAAGATAAATTTGAACTACCTCCAAACTGAGTAAACAAGATTTTCGGGAGAGGAAGTGATAAACAGACCTGTAAAATCTATTCAATTATTTTTTTTAGTTCGATGAGTTGCTTTTTATTCGTGGAGGCAAGTGAGGGTACTTCAGAGACTGATTGCATTTTAAATTTAAATCAGGGCACGATTTTTTTTTCAAATTTGAATGCATTGTTCTTTAAGAGATTCTTCTTGAAACGCGGGTGCAGTTTTCGATACACCCAGGACAAAAAAAAATTGCAAGCCGTGAGGACAATGGCAATGGGTCTTGGATTCGTCAAAAAGTAACTTTCTCAATTTGAAATTCTGAAAAATCAAGGTGCGTCTGATGATTTATAGCTTATCGTATCCGCGTTGATTTGCGCTTGGTAGAAGGTTTCATCAAGCCCTATCAGTACCTGCCACACCCCATTTTGTCAACTTTCTTTTCTGATTTTTATGATCTCATATATGTGATTGTTCCAATTACTGTTTTGTACTTCAAAGAAATTGCGATGGACATTGCTATTGAAAAATATTATTTCCACACATTTATGTCTGAAAGAAAAAAAAAAAGAACATACGTTCACACGGAATATACACTACTTAAACCCTCCTATGAAATGAAACGAATTACGGCCAAAAGATGCGAAAGCTTTGCTCTTTCAACTACGTGCCGGAAAAGAATCGGTCATGTGAATTCGTTGCTCAAAATGATCTACTCCACAATCGAAGAAATGTACTGTATTAATTGAAATGCTGCACAAAACTGGAAACATTTTTAACTTGAACACAAAGGGTCAATTCTTACATTTTTTTAAACTTCTGAAGCTCTTTTGCTGACTTTTTAATTAATTAAATTTGGTGGCGTGACATTTTAAAAGTCCCTGGTTGCTCTTCAAGTTTGTCTCACTCAGCTTAAACACAAAGTGCTGTAAAGGAGTATTTAAAAAATCAGCAAGGAAATTAGGTTTATATCTCACATTTACATGTTTATTCAACAGTCTAGTAAGTGCTTAGCACATTTCAAATCAATAAAAAATCAGAGAGTGAGACTGTAAAAATTCCATTATAATTACATATTGCTATTGCTGAGTTGCGCATGTAAAAGCAACTTAAATTGAAAACATATTAATTGAAAAATCAACAGAGGCTCGCTCTCAGTCCTACTAGGAATTGCAATATTTCAAAGGATTCTAAGTGAGAAAATTTAACGTCAAAGTGCTGATCAGGTATTTTAATCCTCCCTCAAATACAATTTTGAAGATACTTATGCACAGGTGGACTTTTTTCACAACAATCTTGTCTACAAAAATTTTCTCTGTGAAAGTGATGCTCCACAATTTGACCCTGGCCCATTGCCGCACTAGTGTAAAATTGTGCAGCAGTACAATTGCAAGACAAAATCAAAAGCATTTTTTCTACATTATGGTATTTGATGTTTTGTGTCTCTGTGTGAGTCAAATTCTGGGACAGAGGTTATATTGCATGTCAACCACTTGGGAAATTTGAAGGTCAAATTGCAGGGCAGTTGAATTGCAAGGCACAGTACCATCTGCATAACAATTTATTTTTTGGTACCACATGGTTCTATTCCCATTTTATAATGGCTCTCTCAACAGCAATTTTTTTTGTTCTGGTTCCAGCAGGATTCGTTGTAGAGAAAGTCCCCCTGAACAATGTTTCTTCCATCATGTGCAGAGATCATTCATTGCGAAATTAGATGAACGATTCGCTTATGCGTCAGACATGTGGATGGGCGTGCACACTAAGATTTTGGTTCAGATCAAAAACTGAGATACAACTTGGGCAGCAGCATGTCTAGCGAAAAGCAGCTATATAAGCAACATACCTTCAGATCTACAGCGATTGGCAGTAGTAGTTAGGCGGAAGAAGAAGCAGAAGCAGCCACAGACTCTGAAACTCAATGTTCGTCGACTTCGTCCAGGATTCGAGCATCGCTCGTGTTCACAACATTCTCCGGATCCAGTCGGCACTTATTTATACTCTTGCTTTTTCACGGTTCCACCAGTTGCACACTTCGGGTCTCATCCGCAGCAGCAGCAGCAGGAATAATGCACAGTGAATTCTCTACTTCTCGATCGCCACGCGTGGTTATCTTATTTCTTCTACTTTTTTTTTCCTCCTTGCCCACGTGATATTTTCTCTTTCTTTATCTTAGTGCTACCGTGTGGCAAATGCAGAATGTGATAGGCGACGGACGCGGGACTACGTTGCGCAAGGCGGTGCTCGCGCAGCGAAATCGAGAGGCGCACTGAGGACTCCACGCGCAGCTGCAGGGAACCAGATGGGATCCAGGGGGGGGGGGGGGGGGGGGGGNGGGGGGGGGGGGGGGGGGGGGGGGGGGGGGGGGGGGGGGGGGACCAGCGGCAGAAACCAGTTAGAATTGGGTGTGTGCCTCTGTGTGTGTGTGCGGTGGACAGAGGAGTGGAGCAGTTCATACCAGTGGTATAACAAAATGTTCTGGGGATATAAATTGGAGAACAGCATACCATTGAGCTAAAAAAAAACAGGTGTTGTTCAGAAATGGACATTATTTGGCACAAGAAAAAAAGAGAAGAATTCAGCACTGTTCGACATATTGTTCAGCAAGTTTTTATGAAAGTCACCTTGGCTGCGTGCATCATGCTCTCCCATCATGAAATTCCCAAAAACATGAAATGCACATAGCTTGCAGATTTTTTAGTATATCCTTCAGCTTTCTCTTCAGAACTTATGAAATTAAAATGGCTCCACGGTATTTAAATAAATCCTCGAATTTTCTGGGGTCATTCTATTTTTTTTTTGTGAATTGAGATTCATTGTCCACCATCGCAGAGGTATACAGTGATTGCCTTTTCCACTTTACGCATAATCCAGGTATGTAACGTTTTGTTTTGGCTCCAAAAAATCGAAAATTCTACTCTTCTCTGTCCAAAAAGCATGATAGTCTAAATTGTTGATTCATATGCCCTTGACATGGAGCAGTCTTCAACGTCTTCAATCTACCAGGATCATCAAGTGGACTGGCTCTCAATTACCTTAAAACTTATGGAGCAATATGTTATGAAAATTGGATGGTGCATCTTCAAGTCCAACCTTGAATGAAAATATCCTATTTAGGGTGCTCGAGAGAAATTCAAGAAAATGCCCAGAATCGTTCCAGAATCAATAGGCAATTGCTTATGGTTTATTTGGAAAGCAATGAAAAATATCTGTACTCGATTTAGGAATGCGACATCAAGACACATGCACAAAATAAGGAAAGGATGATCTCAAGAAATCAATCAGAGCTAGTGAAAGAAAAACACGCAAACAAGCCAATGCACGAAGGGTCTAACAAAGTTCTATTTTTAAAAATTGAAACAGATTATAATGGAGTTGAGAAACAATTCTGGTCCAGAAAATAACTCTTTGTCACAAGAAAAAAAAAATCAGCACGGTTCAAATAATTTTTCAGGAAAGTTTTGCAAAAATCACCCTGCATGGCAGCTTTCTGCTCTTCAATCAAAAAATAAAGTGCTCATATCTCGCAGATAGTTTGGCCTTCCTCAGCTTTCCCTTCACACTTTTTGAAATTCACATGGCATGAATTCCAAGGGTTGCCATAACTGAATAATTACAGTATTTTTTCCACAATTTTCATCAAGAGCCACCTTCACAGCTGCCACTTGTGATAAGATTTTGGTAGCTGTTACCTGCTGATTAAAATGGCAGAATTGCCTTTGAAGACCGGGACAACCAGTGGATTATAGCAAGTCAAGTCTGCGATCGTCAGACGACATCTAACCGTTATCTTCCGAATCTCCCAACTGTGTTCACTATAGCCAATTAGAACCCGGAAGCTAGCTGAGGGGTGAGGCAAAGTGGATGATGAGCAGTGAAAGAGCAAGAAGCTTCACTCTGACTTCAGCTATCATTACAGATGATTACACTGACATATTTTATATCCCTTTTTTGGTGTGGTGTGGTGATTGTCACTGTGTGAGGATTGAGGAATTAAAGCGGTGGTTATTGTTGACGACTGAGTATTTCTTCAATCTTTCATTGAATTAAAAAGAAGTGCTGATCTCAAGGATGCCAAAGGGAAAGATGGGGTAAAAAAAAGCTACAATTTGGACGCCTCATTTTTTTATTGAAGAGCAGAAAGATGCCATGATGACTTTTCGAAATTTTGCTTTTAAAAACTAGAAATGTTGAACACTGCTGAATTTTTTTGGATACTAATTGATTTTTGACTCAATCACGCGCCATTTCAATTTTTGTGAAAAATTTTTGTTGGACCCCTCGTACACTAGTTTTTTTTCTTCCTTTCTGCAGCCTGACTGATTTCTTGAGAAAATCACATCTTTCTTATTTTTTGCATTTGTCTATGAGTTGCATTCCTGTATATGCATATCTATTTATCAAGAATTTTTCATTGCTTTTCAAGTAAACCATGAACGAGTGCCCAACCCAACGATTAAGAAGCAATTTCGTGGGCATTTCCTTGAACTTCTTTGAAGAACCCTGAAATGGATATTTTCATTTTTTCATGCTAACAAAAGGCACCTTCCCATTTGTTGCATATTCGTAAGTTTTCATCAGATTTTGATAATTGACCATGGAATTTGATTCTGAGCCGGTCGAGTCGCTTTAGATTGATAGGAGATATTGAATACTGTTGGATGCCAATTCGGCACTTGATGCAAAGACTTCGTCGAACATGATTATTAGACAAAAATAACTAGATTTCTCGATTTTTCAGTGCCAAAAGAAACACACCTGGTGTGTGTCTCATGTGAGAAAGATAAATACTACACTATAAGCCTCTTCGGTGGTGGACGATGAACTTAATTCACTTTTTTACACTAGGGATGACTCCAGAGAATTTGAGAATTTTTTCGAAATACAGTGTAACAGTGCAGCCGTTTCTGGCTGTTATAAATGTACAGTACTGTACTGCATATGCTTGTACATCATGTATAGTGGTTTGTGAACTGGGAATGAAAAGGCATGCAAAAGGGAAAGGGAACCGTGACATAAAGGAAAACAAGATATGCTCTCTGGTATATGCGAAAATAAACAACTAAAGCACGCCAAGAGTGAGGCAAACCAAAAAAGAGGAAGGGGTTGCATCACCGGGAATTCAGAAAAGTCTGCTTTTCTGCATGGAGCTACTGGAAACTTCACCAGGGCAGGAACCAGGGTAAGTTTTTTCGCAACCCAGCCAGATAAGGTGATCATGATGACTTTTGAATGGAGGGAGGAGCCAGGATTTCATTTAGGAAATTACCACGATTGGCATGTCCCCTATACTCCTCTCAAGTGCCAATTCCATCCCTGATGGAGAAGTGCGGACAGCTTTCTGCAAGGGTATCTGGACTTCGCAGGGTATACCCATGTCCCCGGGGCAAACGATAAATGCAGGCCAGTGCAGGGTGGGCCAAAAAAAGGGAACCAATTTTGAACTAAAGGAGCTTAGTAGCAAATCAAGCTACACAGCAACAATGAAAAACCAAATCCAAGCTTGTTAAATATCCTTTCAAATGATGGATGGTTTCATACTTGCAAGTGTCCCAGCATGGTCACAAAAACCATTTGAATGCAAACTTTCCAAAATTAATTTTCCAGACAACTCTGATTTCCACAGAGCTGGTGTTCTTCAGGGCTGTTTTTTTCTGGGGGGGGGGAGGGGGATGAATTATGTGCAAAGACAGGGATTTACCCAGCAAACTTCATGCTGCCTTCAAGAACACACACATTCTGAAAATATGGGAGCTAGGACGGGGGTGAGGAATGTTTTTTACAAATTTAGCAGTGGAATGTTGTCCCACTTCCTTGGCACACTTGCCAGATGGCAGCCTTATGACTCCTTTGATCTCCTGCATGCAATTTTTTTCTCTGGATGATTAAATTGCTCCAAATCAATATCACTCATTAATCACAATGGCCAGCCATCATTTCTGTCATACTGTAATTGGTTAATTTAAAATACATTCAGATTTCCTCATCATATCACGCTGAAGTCATAAGTAATCGAAATAAGTATGAAAATTGACTGTGATGAGTATACTTCCACCTGACCATTTTGATCAATGAGTGAAACAGATGAAGAGCAATCCAGTACAAATACAGGCTCAACCTGTACTTTAATCCTAATACCTCCTGCATGCATGGTTCAAGCTATGCAGTAAGCAATATTTTGAAAGTACCCTATTGTTGAGCAGGATCCAGAATAATTCCTGTTTTGCTAGAGACAGCTTAAATTTCCCAGCTCTACTCATTGGTAGAAATAATTGATAAAGTTGATGTGTTTCTATTAAGCTGCCAAGCATTTATTGTATCTTTGACTAAATCATTCATGATTGAAGTTCACATGAAAAAAACATGCATTTCACGAAGCTTGGATGCGTAAAAAAAAAAGATTGAACCTGATTTTCACCCACTCATATCTGTTAGAATCATTTAAAGTTACTAAATATCAGGATTATTAAATGCTTGCTGATGGCCAGGTGCAGGAGTATTTGCAGCACCATCATTACATAATTAGTTTGCTAATGCTGTCTCCATGGCCTCACACATGCGTAGGTACGATTTGATTGATTGATTATTTTTCGCGGAATAAAGACACATTGAAGTCATGCATGCAGAGACGTGGTGGTTTTTTCCTTCATTTTCAGCAGCTCATCATCCGCGTACATGAAAAGAAAAAAAATTAAATACTTGGACAAATAATCAATTGGACGAAATGACAATCGCGGATCACGCCGTAACGACAGAAAAGATTCAAAATCAGGCCTCGTATACCGATCGAGCACCTTTACTGTAATTTTGGTAACCAGAATTGCCAGCATCAGATTTGAGCATCATCATATGCAACAAAGTCATCATCATGAATATAGGTTGGATAAAAATGGGGGTTCATACAAAGTATTCGATTCGATTCCTCGTCTTCATTTCCACATACAATTTCAACCACTCCCCCCGGCCTATGCATAGAATCACAGATAGTATGGCTTTGCTCCGTTCTTCTTCTTCTTCTTTTTCTTCCTCCTCTCCCTATATCCACCGCCAATTCGAGAAGAAGAGAAGAATGCGAGAAGAAAAAAACACCCGCGAACAGCACAAAAAAGGTACGCACATAGCCAACATCATTGGTAAAAACTATTTACAATACAGTAAACGCAGCATCGTCGTAGAAAACAGGAAGGGAATGCATCATCAAATTCATCGTTCGTTGTGATGAGTCATCATCAGTCATCACCCGCACGCAGTCAATCAGTTGACGTTGGCACGGATCCAGTCCATGAACTCGGTGATCCTCGTGTAGACCCCCGGGTACCCCGGTTCGGCGCAACGGTTGCCAAAACTCACGATGCCGATTTGGTACCAGTGCGCGTTCTTGAGGAGCAGCAACGGGCCTCCAGAGTCACCCTGAGGGCATGCACAAGTTGCATACGTATAGGGTTACGTGTGTGTGTACATGATGTACAGGACAGTATATAAGTGCGAGTGGAGTACGTAAGATCAAACGCATATACAGTACATATACAGAACTGTAAGAGTGCACTAAACAAACGTGTACATGTATAAAAGACGCAGCGTATGCATGTGATTACATGCGAACATTTCTTCGATATATCCTCAACTCGAACAGCATCGGCATGATATAGCGCAACAGTGGTGTATATGGAGCAATGCGCTGTTTTTTGTACAGCAGGATTGCATAAACTGTAAGTGCAACAGCGAAGCTCCAAGCAATGAAACCCCGATAAGCACATATTTATCGTTGATTTTATCCCTTGATCGTACTACCAAAGCAATATACTGAGAGTATAATAAAAACAATACTGTTCAATTTCCATACTGTAGTGATGAATACTACAGTTGAACCTCTGTAAGTTGAACTTCAAGTGGGTCATTGAAAAATTCGAGCTAAGGATGTTCCAAGTTGGAGCACCAAGCCTTTTGGGGAGAAAGAAAGGAAAGTTACACTTGGGAAATTGTAAATTTTTTAATTGGTGAAGTTCTAGGCCTTAAATTTCTCCTTGAATGAGTTGACTGAACGCTTAACTTGGAGGCAATGGTTCATTTGCCCAATTGATCTTTCACTTCCTTTAAAACACAGCATCAGTTAATTTTTTATTGTTTTTCACTTTCCTTTGTTGATAAAATACTGTACAGTTGAATCTCTCAATGTTGAATTTCTGGTGACCAGGAAAAAAATTTGACTTTGGGAGGTTTTGAGTTAAGGAAGCAAACATTTTTGCTGCAAGGAAAAATAAAGCATTTCGGGAAATTGTAAATTAGAATATTCTGAGCCTAAAATTGTTTCTTATGATGAACTTACAGCTTGCCAAACTTGGAGGCATGGGTTCATTTGTTCAACTATTATTTCACTTCATTTCAAGATGCATAAAATAATTTGTTTTATTGATTTGTTTCTATCATATTTCAAGGAAATCATAACCAAAAGACCTCAGAAAAGTTGACTTACAGTTACAGAGGTTTGAGAGAAAAAGACCTCAAGTTAGGGAGGTTTTTAATGCATTGTTTCTAAGGGAATTTACACAGGGACTTGGAAAAGATTTTGAGTTGGTGTGGTATTCAACTTGAGGAGGTTTAATTTATCAAGGTTCAACTGTAATAGCCAAAATGACTCCATGAAATTCAAGTGAGGGAGGTTTGCGGGAAAAGCCTTTGAGTTAGAAAGCTTTCTAATGCATTGCTTTGAAGAAAATTGAAACAGGGACTTCGAAAAACTTGAAATAGGGACAAGGTATTTGACTCAGGGAGGTTCCAGTTATTGAGGTTCAACTTCATTACTATATGAGTCATTAGACAGAATAATGAAGCAGAAAAGATTCCTTGAACGAAATCATAGGAAGGCAACCCTTATGTACGAGTTGCACCACGAACGTATTGTACATTATGGAAACGCGATAAAATGTTATTTTTATGTTAGCTGAGTACATTAAATAATGACATTTAAGTTTAAATTCTTTATTACGCTTCAATTCATTTTTGAAAAATCATTAACTAAGATTTTTAGGCGCGCCGTTTTGCGATACCAACAATGAAGAAAAAAGAACGGTAAGCTGAGCTTATGTAATAGAGTATCTTGTGAAGAATAATCTCGAACCTAATGGTAATATTAATAGCAATTAGTATTATTCTTAGAGTATTATTATTATTATGGAATGCACCAGAATGATATCAATGCAAAGCTGAATAACTGATATCCCCCGGAAAAGAAGATGCTGTACTTTATGTGTACTATATGCATATATATACAAGTACTGCATCGCATTCGTATTCTTTTGCATGTACAGTAATGATGTAGTGGAGTGTGCCTATACCTGACAGGCGTCTTTGCCGCCGTCGGCGAAACCCGCGCACAGGAAGTTGTTGCCGATCGGCTGGAAGTAGGCCTTGTCGCAGTCGGCGTTCTTCCACACGGGCAGTTCGATGTCCCTCAAGTGCGTGGCTTCCTGGCCACCGTAGTAGGTGGAGCCCCAGCCCACCACCGACGGCGTCTGGCCCACGAAGTCGTCCACGAGCATGTTGCTGGTGGGCAGGCAGATGGGCCGCACGAACTCGTTGAAGGTGACTCTCCTGTCCAGTCTGTCGCAGTAGAAGTACAGTACAAAAGAATGATGCCAGCACGTGAAGAAGAAGAAGAACGAAGGCGATCTTATCTCGTTCATCTGAGTCAATATCCTCACTTGAAGATGGCAATGTCGTTGTAGAAACCGTTGCCGTTGAAGCGGGGATGCACGCGGAACTCGACGACGGAGAAGGTGTCCGGTTTGGCGGCTTCGGCGGCGTTGAACAAGTCGTGGTCGCCGACTCGAACGGTGAATTGCCGCGAGTTGAAGCTGATCGAGGCATGCAAATAATACGGTAAAATGTCGTCGCAGCGGGAAAATTCCTTGGATCTAAGCGTATAGTTTTTTTAACTCATTCTGGACTGCAATATTCTGGGGCATTGGCGATGGATACCCATTCTGGAAATGTCCAGCATTGGAAAATTGTTTCTCACGTACTGTTTATTTGAAAGAAAGGCATACATTCTGAAATGGGAAGCTGAAGAATTTCTTGTGCATTCTATTCCAAACTAAATTTTCTCGGCAAAATGCTAAGCTTCTTTGAAGAAGTTGGAATGCTGCATCAATTCAATTTTAATTTTCCTGCCATTTATCAAATAACCCGTAAATGTTATTATACTGAACTGAAATTACAGGCTACTCATCTTGTTCAAACAATATTTTTCAGTATGTTACCTTTTTCAAGAAAATGCAGTGACGAAGAAAAAATACGTAATAGACAAAATGTGTTATAACCAGATTCGTTTTAAAGGAATTTTACTGTACCATACAGAATGATAATGATGCGAAGACGAACAAACGCATGAATAAATTTTGTATGATGAGGATGATGATAATGTCCGATTGTGTGACTGTACATGAAAGTAACAATAAGACGTTCATCACCAACTATTCTGTCATCATCACGTGTTTTTTTTTTTTTTTTTTTTTTTTTTTTTTTTTTTTTTATNTTTTTGTCTTTTTAATGTGTTTTTTTTTTTTTTTTTTTTTTTTTTACTATTATTGGTCATGGACGACGAGTCACTTGTGTTAATGCAGTATAGGAGTAAATTCAGCAGTAAACCTGTTCTGCCTGGCGTCCTTGGTGCAGTGAGCCGCCGTGAGGACGTGGAACTGGGAGATGAGAGTGCCGCCGCACCAGAACTCGGTCCTCTGCGGGCCGTGCAGGAAGATGGCGGCCATCCAGGGCCACTGGCCCGGCCGGGACTCATCACCGCCCACGATGCGGAATGTGGGGAAAGTGGCCTTTCCGCACTCGTCGAATCGAGGGGGAGAAGGAGGTGCATTTGCTGATGGCTTATTATTATTATTCAGATTCTGATTTGACGACGAGGACGGATGCTGATTACTGCTGCTGCTGCCACCGCCGATGACAGAACCAGCACCTGCATCACCGCCTCCACCGGCCAAAGCGTCATCTATGAGGATGTTGAGCAAGCTGCCGAGGAAGCTGCCGCCGTCGCCGTCGGTCGTTGTCGCCGATGACGATGGCAAGGGCGGCGGCGGTCTGATGGTGGTGCTGGTGACACTCGTCGTCGGAGAGGACGACAGCACTGACACAGCTGAGCTGACGTCGGGCTTGGGTTTGCTGCTGGAAGCTAGCCCGCTGGTGGCAGCTGCGAGGTCTCTATAAATAGATGCATTTTGCGTGGCATTATCACAGATCATGATCATGCACATCATCAGCAGAACTCGCGGATGTACACGCAGGGGGGGGGGGGTCAAAAATGTGCGGAATTTTTTCTTGAGAACAGAGGAAGGTTAGAAATCGACGCATTTTTTAACGCGCCTCGGGGCGCGTCTTCAGCTAAAAAGAAACCAACCCTTCAACAGGGCACCAAAAATTAAATTAAAACACAACAACTCGGCAGAAACTGCCGATGGTAAAATACAAACCCATCTTTGGGTAATTAACTCTTGTCTAGGGTCAAACAACCCCCGATTTTTTCTCACTCCTGAAAAGGATCAAATATCAAAAGGGGGA